TTTTATTCGTCCGCTGTTTGAGCGCCCTCTCTGTGGTGACGTACAGAGAAGAAGTTAGAAAGGTCAGTCCCCGAAACAGCCTTTAAATACGATACTCCAAAATTTCTTCGGTATGATATTAGGAAGAGTTTTAAATATTTTATCCTCTTCTCATAAGGAAGGTGATTAGGTTCTTATCCCTTTTACTCCTTGCAAAATACGTCCCTCATTGTTGAAGCACGGACTAGCTGTTTGTTTGCAGTATTCTAGATAAAGCCTGACATATGTTGCGTAGAGTACTTTGAACACAGACTCATCTAATCGTTTGAAAGCCCTTCGGATTGCCTACACCAATCGAAAAGCCCTAGCCGTAGCTGTATTGTGACACAGTTGTTGTAAAATCATGGCTGAAAGTCCGTTAACAATAGGCAGTTCTGTGTCCCCCAGGCGGTACTACTTGTAAGACCTCTGATCTAAGTGCATCACCACGCTTTTCCTGGAATTAATTTCCAAACTCCAGAGGTTCGGCCATTCAGCTTGCTTATCTAGATCACCTTGTAATACCGACCCGTCATCATCATTATTTACGGTTTCCCAGATTTTAATAGTGTCCGCAAATAATAACGAATAGGTAAGAATTTTTTGGTAGTTCATTTATGTATAATAGGTATAGTAGGGAGCCTAGTACAGTTCTGTGAGCTACTCCACTTAGTACTGCTTTCCACCGTGACAGTACACCATTAACCCTTGGCTTTTGCCTTCTATGCAGTAGGCAGTCTCTAAACCACTCTCATAGGCATTGGTCTAATCTAAAATCCTCTAGTTTACTGAAAGGACCTAAATAGGACACTTAGTTGAATACCTTACTAAAATCTATAAAACCAACGTCCAACGGTAGGCTTCTATCCCTGGCTTCTGTCCAATTTTCCCTAGCTAACAGTAAGTTTGTTAAGTAGGATAGCCCTGATGGAAATCCATGCTGTTTCTCCGCCAGTAGGCCATGTTTCTCCAAATGAGCTAATAGCTGATCTCTTAAAATTGTTTCTAATACCTTTGCTACAATGCATATTAGACTTATGGGCTGGTAGTTAGATACAAATTGCCTGTTTCCCTTTTTCAAAATTCGGCTTATAATTGTGTCCTTCCTGTCCCCGGGTAGTCAAGCCTGAGTCACAGACATTCTAAGTATCTCCATAAGTGGTATGTATAATATGTCAACTAAGGAAACTAAAAGTCTAAGGTGGAGTCCATCAAGCTCTGGTGATTTACCTGGCTTCAGTTTAGACAGTAGTTTGAGAACCACTGCTTCATCTACCACCATTGGGGGGGAGTGGATTTAAGAGGCTGGGTAGAGATTGATTTTGAATGTTGCGAAATTGCTTTAGAGTTAGTAGGCCTCAAAATCCTCAATCTTTTAGTTCTTTGTCATTCTGAATAAACTAATCACGAGAGTATTTAGTTAGAGAGAGATTAAAAAGTATAACAGTTTTCGTGCTAACTAAATCATGTGGGCATCGGCAGTTACTGTGGTAAAATCCAAACATTTTTATAAGCATAATAATGGTGTTTCAATTGCATAAAGTTAGTTATCGCCTTTTATAAACGTGTTGCATCCACCTCCACAGTTGCTATTATTTACACAGACTTATTAGCACTTTTCTTTGTGAACTCGTATGGGTCTTTTTATCATAAGTAGTCCATATATATATATGTATGGTCGCTATAAGCATTCCTCATATTCATCCGCAATCAGTAGTACAATACAGTCTCACAGATGACAGTCAGAAAAAACCCTAGAACAAAGAAATTTTTACTAGCCATTCACTCCTAAAACCTCGTCCAGCCCGATAGTAACCCAAAATAACCACGTCTACAAATGTACAAATGACAAAAGTGATTGTGTTCTTAAGGCCGAATGATGAATTTTCAAAGAGCTAGTTAATCTTTTACTCAGTGTAGTCATACTTAAATTTTTTTTTGTCGCTACTTATGTCTTAATTATCATAAAATGTGTGTAGTGAAGAGCGTCGGTGACATAGCGGTGTACTGCTCAACAGTCCGCTCCGTCCTCCTTTATGGCTGTGCGACCTGGCCATTGAGAGTGGAATACATGAAAAGATTAGCTGTCTTCGATCATAGGTGTCTGCGTTCTATCTCCCGCGTGAAGTGGCATACTAAGGTGAGCAATATTAAGGTTAAGCCTTGGTCGAGTGCTAGGTAAGGAGGGTAAATCAGTCGACGAGACTGTGAAATTACATTGACTGAGATGGTTAGGACATGTGCTGCGTATGCCTAATCATCGCCTTCCTCGACCGATGGGCAATGTTAGCTGATATAGGATCAGGCTGGAAAAGAGCTAGCGGCGGTCAAACGAAAACATGGCACCAGTCAATGAAATCCACAACACTTAGTCTAAGCCACGTAGGAAGGTGTAGACTTCTTGACTGACTGGTTGGGGTCCTCGGGACGGTAAAAGTCAATGGTTGGAAACAACTGGTGACATGGCTCAAAATCGTTCTCAGTGATGGCTGGCGCAGATGCATCCTCTCCTTGTGACTCATGATTTCCAATGAAACTGTTTTGTTTCTCGTTATTACTATTCCTTTGTCTCACACCTCTGTTTACTGTCTCTCATATAGATTTCTCCTACTTTCTTCTCTTGATTTGTGTGCTACATGGAGTGTGCCGACTTGAACTGCAGCACATTGGTGCAAAGTTCTATGTCGAAAACCGACCGACCTTTAATTCTTTTCTAACAAGTATCTGTGGTTGTCTAATCGGTTTTTGACCTCTACAATAGAAGGCATAGACACCACTTCTTGGATTCGATTCTATGAATTTATGAGTCAGTGAGAGAAGAACCACTACTTCACAGCAATATAGTACCTCGACTTCCGAACCCTTCTTCTTCTATCCCTAGTGAAATGTTTCAACTTGGTGGAACATCAAACAGTGAGGAATATTTAAGCAAAATGGACAACGTTTATGGCATAAAAAATTGTCATCATATTTTGTCGTCTTTAGTTCAGACAGTTTAATTGTCCATAACATTCTTTCAATTCAATGTATGCACGTCAAATAAGTAGTAATAATTTATTTTATTTGTAAGATACTCTACACAGAACTGGACTTGACTCATCTGTTTGAGAAAAAAAACAGGTATGGCAAGGCTATAACCACAGGATATTTACTCAAAGATTATCCCTTATATATCATTCATAAAAGAATAAAACTTGTGGACTGTGGTAGAGTGTAATTCCATTATGGGTAAATTTTGTTTTGATAAAGTCTCACAGTGTTACACAGTAATGTTTACTGATAACGTTTCGAGCACAATTTATTGCTCATAATCATATCAAGGTAATCACACGACTTCCTAAATTCATTTATATAGTTCCGTTGATTTTCACTTGATTTGATTGGTAGTAGTATTTTCCATATTTCGGGTATGAGTGATGATTCATTCCTATTGCATGTGTTGGATGTAGATTCGATGAACAAGGATTCATTAATCAACCTCTCTCTCCACCTACCTAGATTACTTTTTAGAATTTTAACCCTCTCCCACCCTATTGTGTGGTTGTGTGTTAATGCATGCATTGCAATTGCTGAGCTTTTTTCTAAATTACCTATCTTCTCGGGGTCAACCATTCTTACCTTAGCTAAATTCTTATGTTCTGACAATCTGACTACCCCTGACCTACTAGTTTGGCCTATGTAGTTGACTTAGCTCACAGTCATTGCAGGGTATTTTGTAAATTATATTATTTTGTCTAATTGGGTCAACTGGGTCCTTTAACCCACAGAGCTTGTCTCTGAGTGAGTTTGTAGGTTTAAATGCCACCCTAATTCCTGCTTTATTTAGAATCCTACGTAGGGTTTCAGATGTCCCCTCTTTAAATGGTATAACTGTAGATGACTTATATTCTCTCTTATTTATGTTATTATTACTAGTTTCACAATTCTTCTTATTTTTCTCTTGGCCTTATTCAATCTTCCTAATGAATTTTAAAGGATAGTTATTTAACACCAACGCCTCTCCTATCTGTTTTATCTTATCATTTAAGTCTTTTCTTGCGCTACTTAGTGCCATTGCTCGGTTTGTCAAACACTTAACTAAGCCTACCTTAACAGTTAAAGGATGAGATGAACTGAAGTCTAAATATCTATTAGAATGCGTTAGTTTCCTATAAACACTAGTGTGTAGTTTGCCTTCTTCTATTCGTTTTATTTTACAATCTAACATAGCTAATTCTCCTTGTTCATTTTCGGTTTCAAATGTGAATTTTATTCCCTCCACTAGTGAGTTTATGTGTGTCAAGAATTTAGAGATATGTTCTGTTTTTAACACTGTGAAAGTGTCATCCACATATCTCCACCACATTATCGCTGGAGTAGGATTAAATGTATTAAGCGCAATATTTTCGCAGCTGTCAATAAAGATATCTGCTTCGATAAGGGATATTGGTAATCCCATTGCTACACTTTCAGTTTGTCTATATATTTTACCTTGGAATTTAAAGATAGTAGATGTGAGTCACAACTGAATTCCTAAAATAATAATTTCTTCAATGGGTAGTTTCGTCCTATAAGTGACTTTAGGGTCTGCAGTTAATTCTTTTTTACCTTGATATGATTATGAGCAATAAATTGTGCTCGAAACGTCATCAGTAAACATTACTGTATAACACTGTAAGACTTTATCAAAACAAAATTTACCCATAATGGAAGTATCCCTTATATATTCGCATTCATTCTAATAGCCATGAAATCTATCAAGTGTAACATAATGTCCAAAATGTTGTTGTTAGTATATTTATACAAACACTTTTTCGTGCTGATAAATGTTTTGATACATAGACATCTACTAAAAATGTTAAGTAGATAAGAATATTGCAGCAGGTAACGTATTCCCCTTACTGATTACCACTCAAATGTATACAATATACAAAACTATAGTTACTTTTAGTATTCTTTAATGCTTCACTTTGTTATACCTATCTGTATGGTTAAATTTTCAGCTCATAACATATTGTTCAAGCTTACTATTCGCTTATCTCAAAGACCTTAAAATTAACTATGGAGACTGAAGGAGTCGGCACTGCTGAGTCAGATGATTCTGTTGAGAAATGGTGGCAAAGTTTCTTAAAACAAAAACTTGCTGATGATGAATTAGATGCAGAACTTCGATCTGCATGGGAGAATTGTGTTCAAAGACGGGCTAAATTTGCTGAAGAAGTTAAACGAATCTTGAAATTATACCAACCGATTGAAAAGGTGCTTAGCAATACATTGGAAGCTGATCGTGGACAGAGAGGTCAAAATCTTTACAGAGAATGGGGTAATGTCAAATTTTACTTTTGTAAAAGTATTTTCAATGCTTGCCAACGTCACCAGTATTTATTATTATTATTATTATTATTATTATTATTATTGTATCCTTTAATTCCTACAGGAACATAAGGCTTCAGTCGTGCGTCTCCATTGCGTTCTGTTCTCTGCTAGAGTCTTCACCTGGCTCCATGTCTGCCCACACTTTTTCATCTCCTCTTCACATGACCTCCTCCAAGTCACCCTTGCACTGACGACCAACTCGCCGCTTCCCTTTCGGCCAGGTTCCACTTCAGCAATGGCTTGTCTAGTGATGTCATTTGATGGTTTCCTAAGAGTATGGCCAATCCATCGCCATTTCTTCCTGCCTATTTGTTTCACAATCGGTTCCTGGTTGGTTCGCTCCCAGAGATCCCTGTTGCTGATCTTTTCTGGCCATCTGATCTTGAGTATTGAGCGAAGACAACTGTTAATGAAGGTTTGTAGTTTGTTTGAAGTGCTCTTTATGACGCTCAGTGCAAGTCTCTGATCCGTATAGTAGCACTGACTGATTTCACATTGGAGTTGAAAATCCGGATTTTATTTTTGATGCTGAGTGCTATTGACATCCACACAGAGTTGAGAGTAGTGAAAGCTTGTCTTGCTTTTCCAATTCTTGCTTTGATATCCTCGTCAGTTCCGTCTGTAGTTGAAACGATGCTTCCTAGGCAGGGTAGGTAAAGTAGGTTGTTTCTTTCAGGTTCCTCCCATTTATGCTGATTGTTGTCTGTTGTTGTTGCTGTTGCTGTTGGTGGTGTTGCCCAGGAATCTTTATCAGCTCTCTTTTATCTATGTTCACCTGAAGTCCTATCTTTGATGCTTCTTCTGCTAACTTGTTGCTTTTCGCTTGCATGTCTTCCAGTTTGTGGGAAATCAGACAGCTTTTTGTCCTGTAGAACTGTTATTTTATACAATTCTTCCCATTGAGAATGGCCATGAAGAGTTTATCGAGAAAGTATATAACACGCTAATCAAAGCACTTCACTTGAACTCGTAGCCGTGTGAAAACTTATGGAGAGTTGCTCTCTGAAATGGTGACAGTCAAGGGATGTCTGTCAGGAACTCACCTTTCCATTTTTGTTTGACTTCATCATATGTGAACTGACAAATGAAACTTCAGTCGAAATCAGCGATTTAAGGATTAACCTATTACCTGGAGATAGTCTCCTTAATTTACAGTATACGGTTAACATAGTCCTAGGTGAAGATGCTGACAAAAAACAGAGTATTCTGAACACCTTGTTGAAGAAATCTTGGAATTTTTTAAAATAGTTTTTGTGTTTCTCCTCTGTCATATGCAATATAATGCTGCAGGACTGGTCTACGCCAACTGCCAGTTTAAAGGTAAAGGGGAGAGGGAAGTGGTGGAGTGTGTTGAAAATTTCACTTATTTGGGAAATCGAATCAGCTCCTATGGACAGATTGCTGATGAAATCTCAGAGTGGATACAAAAGACACATGTGATGTGTACCAGCTTACATTCTTTCTGGCGTAGACATGATATCCGATGGGCTATCGATCAAAGTACAAGTGTACTCCATGGCAGTTCACTTCATCCTTCTTTAGTCACTGAAATGGTTGTGTCTTTTACTGTGTTTGTTTGCGTCTTATGCCCCGTGTTAACTGGTGTAATATGTGAGTGAGTGAATGATATTGCAATTGGACGTAGAGTGTTAGCCAAGGAGGGATAATCAATCGATGGCGTTGTGAAGCTGTACCAATTGAGAGGTGGCTAGAACACATATTATGCATGCCAAGTTACTGTATTCCCTGATGAACAGTGTCCGTTGAAACAGTACTGAGTTCAAAAGTGTTACCGGTAGTCAAATCAAAATCTTGTATCAATGCATGATACTTGATTGCTGGTGTGTAAGCCATGTAGGGTAGGTTTAGACTGCCTGTGTCTTGGAACCTCGAAGCTATAAGAACTAATGACTGGAAACTGTTGGTGATGTAATTCAAAGTCGTGCTCAGGTAGGCTTCGTGTGCTTTTGGAAGTGTGTGGGCGGTTTTTACTTCCCGGCTGCCCACACCGTGGAAGTTGGCTGAGTCTTCGGGTACCTGAAATAGAGAAAAGGTTAGTGTTGCGTGACCGCAGAGCCCAGGGGACAACTGCTTGAGGCCGGTCACACGCGGCCTGTTTTTGTTTGTTTTTTCTTGTTTGGTGTGTCTCAGTAGCATATTTATCACTTCTGCCCTGTGACACGGCAACAGGAGGCGCGGTCGTTGTTAATCTGGGTCCCGACCGATCAGGAATGATATTTTGTTTTTCTGAATCATAATATTCTATGGGTAGCTGCTTTTTGTCTAACCGCTATCCAAACAACCTTTCTGGCATGGTAGGACCTACAGGAACATAAGTTCCAGCCAGTGTAGCTCGTTGGGTCATTGCGATATGCAAGCCCGACCACCACGTCAAGGTAGCAGCTATCGGCCGGGCAAAGTCGTGCTCAGTGACACAGATAATTTCACTATCGATAAACTCCTAAATCCATCAAATCCTCATTATTTTTCCTCCAGTACATCTCCATTCATTTTAATCCCCTCACGTTTTTTCTCTCTACCTATGAAGTATGGCAATTTGAACTGCCGTAGGTTTGTACAAAGTTCTACACTGAAATGTAGTCACTCATTGAGACACTTGAACACAACAAAAAAAAGAACAAGTCTAGCAGGATAATATCGCGTCTCATAAAAGTGATCATTGTTATTTCTTTTTTCTATTATTACATTTAGGTCAAATACGTCGGAAAGAATGTCTACTGGCCTATTACGATAATGATACATTTCGGGCTACATATACACGGCAAAGATTTGTAAACAGTGCTACTAGTTTCTTACAAGTAAGTTAAAAGTGTATATTCTCCTAAAACTACCCTCGTCATTTCTAACTTAAATTGTGATTGCATTGTTCTATCTATTTAATGATTATTATTATTATTATTGTCATTATTCCCTTGGGTTCCGTGTGGAGCATAGGGCTTCAAAAACCCTTCTTCACTTTGTTCTATTTCCTGCCATCCTCAAGTTTGCCCGTAATCTCTCATTTCCTCTTCCAACTCGCACAATCTCCTCTATGTCACCCTAGGACGACCCACTCGTTGCTTCCCAGTGGGATTCCACTCGAGCGATGACCTGCATTGCACGCGATATCATTCGACCGTCTCCTCAATGTATGTCCCACCCATCTCCATTTTCGCCTACATATTTGTTGAGCGATCGGCTCTTGGTCAGTTTGGTGCCAGAGTTTCTTGTTGCTGATTCTTTCTGGCCAGCTGGCCATTTGATTTTAATTATGGGGCCAGCGAAGGGGGCAGTTATTAATAAAAGTATGTAACTTGTTGGAAATGCTTTTCGTGACACACTGTCCAAGTGTCTGATCCGTGTAGAAGAACTGATTGACTTAACATTTGTGTCGAAAATCCCGATCTTGTTCTTTATGCAGGGTCAGTGTCAAAGATTCTCAATCTGGTTTCAGGTTTTTGAAGACGTATCTGGCTTTGACATCTTTCGTTCCGCCTTTAGTTGACGCTATGCTCCTTAGACAAGTAAAGGTCACCTCTGTTAAATCTCTCCCGTTGATGGTGATTGGTGCTGGTTGTTGTTGTTGCTGTTGGTTGGTTGGTCGTTCGGTCGGTCTGTTGTTTTCATCACCTCCATCTTCTCTATGTTCACCTGCAGTCCTGTATTCGCTGCTCACTTCTTCAGCCAGTTTGTTGATTTTCGCCTGTTAGTCTTCGAGTTTGCATGACACTAGACATAAATCATCCATGCACGAAATCCAGATCTTCTAGAGTCTTCTTATCGCGGTGGTCCAGCATATTCATGTCTCCTCGTTCCCGACATTCTGATGCATAATCCAGTCCACCACCACAGTTAGGAATATCATTGTTGACATTGTAAGCAGCCCTGTTTTACTCCTGTATTCACTTCGAACGTCCAGCTGAGTTTTCCGTTGTGGGTCACACGACACGTGGCATTGTCATATAGCAGCCAGCTGTTGAATGTGGTTGATAAACATTTGGGCACTGCACGCCCTCCCGTGTTTAAGTAGTTTGCAAATTACTCGACCGAAACTGTCTGGTGAGGACATTTTCGAAGTCGATGTGGTTAAGGTAGAGAGAGATGCTTGACTGCCAATCTATGCTTTATTCTATGATGATAATGATGCGTAGAGTTGCAATTTGATCAGCACATGATTTGCCTGATAGGAATCCATTTTTTACTGCATCGTTGTTATGCATACTTGTGTCGATGTGATCAATATTTCTCTTCATGATTGATGTCTGTTAACTGAATCTCACGTATTATCAAGTGTGTCGGTTTGCAGGGATATGATGATTGGTAGGTGGTCACAGGTGTTTAATCATGAGCTGACATCAGTTACAAAAGTATTGAAAAACCATGGAGTACTGGAGAGCTGTCTCGTTCTAGTTTAGACTTTTCAGTTACAAAGGCAAGCTCGTAGACCAATGAGCCACTGGGACTCGATCCAGTGGCCCGTGAATTCCAACTTCTTCCAATTCGCGATAAATGTAGCTCAGTTGCTTCCAACCCCGATGAGTGTGTAAACTGAAGAGCCCCAAACAAGGACGAAACAACTGTCCAATATTACCTAGTTTCCCAATGGTTCCCGCATTGATGTCAGGTCATGATCGAACCTGTAATGAAACACTTATGCAATTAATAGTGTTCTCTGAGCTGGTTGGTTTAGTTGCGGAGCTTTCGTCGTCCTTCTGGACAACATCTTCAGCGCAATATTTAGCATAAAGTGAAATGATTTAAATTTCTTCATGAGTGATATAATTGCCTCTCCTGGTAACCATAAATTGTATGAACTGCAACAAGCATTACATCGGCCAAAGCGGGCATCCCCTTCGAATCAGAATCCAAGAACACAAATCAGCCGTGAAAAGACACGATATGTATTCTTTAGTATCAATGCATATAGACAATTATGGCCATCATTTTGATTGGGATAATGTCAAAATTTTAGACAGAAGAAACACCAAAAGTGCAGTCAGGGAATTCCTAGAAGCCTGGTACTCAAACGAAAATGCAATTGACAAACACGTTAATATAGGCGAAATATACCAACTAATAAAAAGTAAATCAGGTAACCAGAGAGTTTAAAATCCAAGTCAATAGAAAATGGTCAATACATATGTAAAGATGATTACCGGGAGACGCAATTCTATCACTCATGAAGAAATTTAAATCATTTCACTTTATGCTAAATATTGCGCTGAAGATGTTGTCCAACTGGGGGGACGCCGAAAGCTCCGTAACTAAACCAACCAGCTCAGCGAACACTATTAATTGCAAATCATCCACCTGAGCTACAAATCTTCTCTATTATGAAACACTTATGTTGTATGTAGAAGGATCATATTGTCAGTTGTTTTCTGCATTAAGTGCACAGAATCACGTGTTATCTTTCTCATTGTCACTCACCTTTTGACCGTCTCCACAGTTAACAATGTCAGTGATAAATCAGTTTACCGTATAGGTGTGTATCTTCAACAAACATTCTACTCAATGCTTCTTAATTCCAAGACTTATCGCTTTTAATATACAAGTATAAATATTTCACCCAAACTTTTACCGCAGGCCTATTATGAAACTTCATCTTTCGAGAATACTGTGAATACGTATTCCTTAGTGTGCCGCATCGGTAGAAGTAAAATCATCTTAAAAAGATCAAAACGCTCTCCCACTACCAAATCCATGGAATCCGTGACTTTTGGTCAGTGTCTTTGTAGTAGTGTGACTACAGAGGAAATTGTCCAGATACACTCACACCTTTGTTTTATCTTGACTTCTATATCTTGTTTCTATATTTATTTCTTCTTTCCTTCCTTCCCGTCTGCACTGTAATATCTTCGACCAGATTATTCTCGGTAATTTTCCTCCCATACCTTCTACTTTCTAACTGATGTATAGATATATATAGGGTGTGATAGCTCGATATACACACGTCAGTAATGCTGTATTCTATGCTGATACTGCTTGTTTGACAGTGTAGTGTAGTCATCCTGGCTAATGATCTAGTTGTATAGACGTCACTTTCGCCCAACAATGATCTCAGGGTGGATAGACTTCGGTCCTCCTCTTGGAGTGCTCGCATATCATCACGCGTTTATATCCCCTATGTCAAGTAAATCCTATTCACTGCCTTTACGCATCGGTGGTGTTTCTCACAAAAGGAAATGGGCGAATGCGAACGTCTTTTTTTTTGCAATCGGACTGATGGAGATGCTGATCTACTTAGGGAAGCTGAAAAACCCTGACTCCAAACCTATAGTGTACATGGGCTCCAGAATTAGAACGGATCGAATGGTGTATGAACCTGTTTTAGCCACCGGCAACCATAAGAATGCAGCTCCTGATGCTGATTTTTAAGTCAAAGACTGGGTTGGTGGTCTCTTGTAAGGACCGACCACCTGTTTCGGTCTGGGTGCCCAAGCAGGATTCCAAGCCCTCGCAGAAACTATGAGACGATAATTTCATGAGAGATTATAATTGTGCACTCACTCTTACAGACTACAGTCATACTTTCTGCAACATGTTGCTTTTTGATCTTATTTTTATACAGAGACCTTTGTGTTTTATTTTTACTGGCTTTAATATCTTTGATATCTTCACTTTCATCAACCTTTCACCTTTGTTTTGTTTAAAATCTCAACTTATCTGTATCGTTTTGACCTGATCTCCAGTTCGATGTCTAACACGAATATCTTGAAACCGCATGTCGCGTTCAAGCTTGTCACAATGATGCAAACTGAACAGCAGGTAAGTATGACCAGAACATTAGGAATACTTCTCTGTCGATGTCTGCTGCATTTTGAAGATGCACAGTCAAGATTCCAGTCAAGTGCTTCGAGTATCTTCTCCATATGAAAGTCCAAGTGGTGTGTACTGTCTGCGCTTATCCAGGGACCCTATGGTGTCGGCCCTAGAGCTGAAGCTGCATTATTCGATTGGATCCCTATTAACAGTCGTGTATGTGCTGTAAGGCTGGAAGGCTGTACGAGAGTAAGAAGCGATTGGCCAGATAGGGGGGGGTGCCTATTTGTCATTTTCCGCCTGTGCACAGACAGATACAATTAAGGATTAGTTTAATTCAAATATGAAATATGGTGTTCGCTAATACATAGTCACAAGAATATTCCTACTAGAGTTATCACTTATCGAGTTAGTTGGATCTCAGTTATCCAGTACCAGGCAATAAGCCACGCCTTTTGTGTGTGTGCGTGGGCTAATAATACTACCTATTTGCCCAGAAGGAAGTGGGGTGGGACTCGAACCCAGGGCCCGTTGACTGACAGTTGAGCACTTAGGCCAGTGTGACACATCTGACAAAATGCAGAGTCTACTGAACACCTTGAGCAACAATCTTCGTATGTTTGGCATGCGATTCGCTCCTGTAAAATGTATGAATATGTTGCAGGATTGCACTTCACCGACCCCTAGATTAGAAATAGGAAGTGAAGTGGTAGAGCACGTTGACCGCTTCACTTACTTCGGAAGTACCATCAGCCCCAACGGGTTGATTTCCGACGAAATCTCAGCACGAATACTGAGGGCTAGTTTTGCATAAGCCAGTTTACGCCGTCTCTGGCGTAGACGCGATATCCGACTATCGACCAAAGGGCGTGTGTACTGCTCAGCAGTCCGCTCCGTCCTCCTTTATGCCTGGCTGTGAGACCTGGCCATTGAGAGCAGAAGACATAAAAAGATTAGCTGTCTTCGATCATAGGTGTCTGCGTTATATCTCCCGCGTGAAGTGGTATAATAAGGTGAGCAATATTGAGGTTAGGCATCGGTCGAGTGCTAGGTAAGAAGGGGAAATCAATCGACGAAACTGTGAAATTACATCGACTGAGATGGTTAGGACATGTGTTACATACTCCTAGTCATCGCCTTCCTCGACGACAGGCAATGTTAGCTGATATAGGGTCAGGCTGTAAAAGAGCTAGCGGCGGTCAAACGAAAACATGGCACCAGTCAATGAAATCCACAACAGTTAGTTTAAGCCAGCCACGTAGGAAGGTGTAGACTTCCTGACTGGTTGAGGTCCTCGGGACGGTAAAAGTCAATGGTTGGAAACAATTGGTGACATGGCTCAAAATCGTTCTCAGTGATGGCGCAGATGCATCCACTCCTTGTGACTCATGATTTCCAATTAAACTGTTTTGTTCTTCGTTATAACGATACCTTTGTCTCACACCTCTGTTTACTGTCTCTGATATAGATTTCTCCTACTTTGTTCTCTTGGTTTGTGTGCTACATGGAGTGTGGTGACTCTAACTGTTTCCCAGCTGTGCAAATTTCTATGTTGAAAAGCGACTGACCTATTTGCACTCATAGAAGGTCTCATTCTTCTACTTAAAAACAGGTTGTTAATATCTCCTAGTGATGCATATTGATTTGACAGTGAGTATGTCCTCATAACTTATCATTATTGTGTACACATGCTTTTCATTTTAAATTATATTTTTTTACATTTATTTAAACTCTATTTTAATTAAAAGGCTTTAGTTTATCGAATTATCCCAGAGAATCCAGATGTAGAATCGTATCTACGACATCATGTTAGTCGTATCATCAGTATAGGCGTTGGACCTGGACCAGATATAGCTGCATATTTAGCCTATGCACGTTGTCGTGGTTTTACCCAACGTCTTGTCTATTATGCTATGGATCAATGTGCTGGTTGGGCTAGTTATCTAGCAGCATTTGATCGTCAATGGTCAACAGAATATCAAGTATCCGTTTGGTTCAAGTGTTTTCGTTTCGGTAAACGTGAAGATGTACAAACTCTGCCTGACGCGGATATGGTGGTGTTCAGTTTTGCGAATACAGCTCTAATGGCTAGTTCTGTTTGGCCATTACTGCAACAACGTTATCGTTTAATTGTAGTGTTAGATGGCATTAAAGAGGTGAGTAAATCAAATGAGAATGTGTTTTAGAAAAGACGGTTACAGTGGAGAAAATTTTCTTTCCAAGGAGGTCATCATCACCAACTAGGCTGCTTATTGGTGTATATTTTCGTCCAGTTAAGGGTCAAATTAATAAAACTACAAAATACAATAAATAGAAAGATCGGATAAACAAAACCTACAGTAGAGTAGGGTCATAACTACTGAGGAAGTTGACCTTTTTCTTTGTGCAGTTAGGGATTCAAAAGGTAGTAATAATAACAACATAGGCAGCAAGTTCAGATAAAAAGCGTAGCGTAATGCAGACGACTGACTGACTGACTGACTGGTTTCAATGTAGCACTTTGCACAGATGTGCAGCAGTTCGAGTCGTCACACTCCATGTAGCACACAAAGCAAGAGAAGAAAGTAAAAAGAAATGTAGTGCGGTCCTGTAGCATCATCTTAAATTTGACAAGGGGAGCGAATTGCATGCCAAACTTTCGAAGATTGCTGCTCAAGGCGTTGAGAAGACTCTGCATTTCGTCAGTGTCTTCGCCTAGAAGGATTATATCATCTGCATATTGTAAGTCAACAAGATAGGAGCTAAAAGCAACGAAGATCGGATAAGAAAGATAAGAGGATAATCACTATTGAGAGGACTGACTTTTTACGATGGCCATAGTAGGGAAAACAGTTGGATGCATTTCTTGCGGATACACAGTGTGGCCTTAAAGTTTTCGATCTCTAACGCGCCTCCCTCAGCTATGCCCAAATACTTTGATCTCACTCCCTTTGAGAAGTTTGGTCGAATCCTGTGTATGACTTTGAAGAGATTTTCAAATGAGGCTGAATGTCGTGAATTCACTAGAGGTTACATGAATGTTACAGCTGAGTTGATGACTTCGTGGGAAAGAAGATTTTCTTCACTGTAACCGTCTTTTTATATTTCTCCTGATCTAATGTGTATTTTCCAGCGATATTTAATCGGATCATTATCGTGTATTTTTTTCATTTCTTGGGGATTTGACAAGCTATTTGATAATTTAGTAATTCTCATTGTAACACAAAGAACCAAATATTCCGCGAAGAGACTCTTTTCAACAAATTTATTAAGGTGTACAATCGCATATATATATAGTTTTTAAGGAAATATATCTCACTAAGAAATTGAAACAAAGGTGTGGATTTTGATTTAGTCTTTTTCGTTGTGCTTCTAGGCAACATCTTCAGTGACAAACACACTACATCGGCTGTCCTCTTCGAGTCCGAATAAAAAAAAAACATAAATTAGTTGTAAAGAAGGCATGATATGTATTCTTTCATATCAGTGTGCATGTTGATATACTTATGAACACCAATTTAATTGGGATAATGTAGCAATTTTAAATAGGCAAAACACGAAACTCCAGAGCGGGGCGCATATCTACAATTTTTCTAGTGTGGTCCACCGAGGGAGAGGGCTCTCGAGTGGTTGCGCCACAGGATGATCCTGCATGCCGTTCTCGTCTCGCAAGAGGCAGGGATGGGTGTGTTTGGTTCTCCTGAAAACCAATACCCAGTCAATGGGTGCATCACTGTGTGAAATGCCCGACCGAAAGCTGCTACCTTGACGTGGTGGTCGGGCTTGAACACCGCAATGACCCAACAGGCTATACTGGCTGAGACTTATGTCGCTTGAGGTCCTACCATGCCAGAAAGGTTGTTTGGATAGCGGTTAGACAAAAAGCAGTTACCCAACCCAATGCTATGACTGGAAGTAAATCACAAAATATCATGCCGGATAGGTCGGGGCCCGGATTAACAATGACCGCGCTTCCTGCTGCCGTGTCATAGGGCAGAAGTGATAAATATGCTACTGAGACACACCAAATGAAAAAGAACAAATAAAAGCAGGCCGTGTGTGACCGAGTTGAAACAGTATGGATTAACATGGATGCAGGTGAAAAGTACAGCAGAAGACAGAAACAAGTGGAGACGTGCAGTTGAAGCCCTACGTTCCACTAGGAACCCAAGGGAACAATAATAATAAGTCTCTTGTCTTCTGTTGTTACAAGCGGCATTATTTGGTTATCATGTTCCATATTATTCCCTGACATCAATCAAATGAACTCGATGTGTTATTATCTTAATTTTTTTCTTCTGGTGTATCTTGTTTGGTGGTTTCTTCAGTTAGAACAAGAAAGACATATAAGCGAACAATATTGCTGTTTTCAATTAGAAGATCTTCTTCAGGCTTTACTCTAATTTACATAGATTTATGTATAAAAACCGTTACACAAGATGGTAGTAAATCATAGTGTTAAGGACATTTTTAAACTCATTGTTCACGTAGATGATATCTATGTAAATGGGAAGCAAATGCTGCTATCCTTAGATGCAGCATCACTGTTCACCTATGTACCACTTATGGAGACTGTGGAATTCATATGCCAACAGATACTAGAAAAACAGTTCGACATCGGAATTCCAGATATTAGTCTGAAAGAGTTGCTTTTAAGATGTACTATGAATGTACATTTCATATTCAACAGCCTTTACTACAGGCAAATCGACGGTATTGCTATGGGTTCTCCATTGGGGCCAATTTTGGCAGATGTCTTTCTTGCTAAGCTTGGAAATGGTCCGTTGAAACAAGTAATCGATAAAACTGATTCTTATTGTCGTTATGTTGATGATACGTTTATTATTCTTGATGTGAAAACTGACAAGAATGAAATGTTAAAAAAGTTTAATGATGCACATCCATCGCCCATCTTCACTTGTGAAGAAGAACATGATGGTAGACTACATTTCCTTGACGTCAAATTGAGCAGAAGAGAGGATGGTTCACTCAAGAGAGATGTCTATAGAAAGCCTACATCTGTAGGACAATATACACATTTCCTCAGTTTTGTACCAATCCGATATAAAATCAATTTGGTCAGATGCCTTACGAATAGAGCAAGACGTATTTGTACAGATGACTCCCTAGAAAATGAGCTAGGATATATCCAAAATACCCTGGTCCAAATGGGTTATCCTAGTAGATTTGTAAGGAGACACATGAACACCAGGTACAATAAAGAGAAATTGACAACAGTTGAAAAGAAATAACTATTCATGAAATTGCAAGCGAAGTCTTACATCTGAGATTATCGAGAGCGATAAAACGGACTTATACTGCCGCCACCCTTTGTTTGTCATTTTCCAGCTGACCAATTATGATTGCACAAGCGAAAGACAAGCTACCTAGCTCTGCAACTTCTATGTGTATCTAGAAATTTAGCTGCTCCTGTGGAGAAAGCTATATAGGGCGAACAACTAGACAGCTTAACAAACGCATTAATGAGCATCTTCCTTCATGGTTCGGAAAAGGTCAAATAAAATCTATAAGAAGTTCTATTTTGACTCATTTGATTGATAGCGGTCACCAAGTGGACAAAATTAGTGCCTTCAAAGTTATCTATCGCATTCCATCGAACCACCTTTCGAACGGAATTCGAACCCATATTTTACACAGGAATTCGAGAGAACAATCCTAGTCTTTGCGTACAAAAGAAGTTTGTTCTACCTTTGTCTCTCCCTTGGCCTAGGTGAATTCTATTCAAAACCTTCTCACCCTTTCTTATTTTCCATCTCCTTCGTACTTTTATGATTATCTGTCCACTTCACCTACCTTTAGTATTACGTAACTTTTAACATTTGACCTAATTATTTATTTAATGAATTGTCTACATATACACATACATACTACTACCTTCGTTGTTCTTATCACCATGTGCATAAACCTTATTATCATTATTATTTTGTTATCATTATAATCATCGTCATTGATGACGTTCAAAACATTTACCACATTTTTATTATTACTATTTGATCCACAAGATCACCGTCATTGGTTAAAACTTTTATACATAAATCTATGTAAATTAGAGTAAAGCCTGAAGAAGATCTAATTGAAAACAGCCATATTGTTCGCTTATATGTCTTTCTTGTTCTAATATTAAAAGTAAGGATATTTAAAGGTTTCTTCAGTTGTTGTCTTATTTATCTAAGAGTATATAGATATTCTCCGTTGGTCTACTTGCTATTTAGCAGTCTCACATTCTTCATATAAACATGTGGATATTGATTACTCTTCTAAGAGGTTTTATCAATTAATTCAGGCATAGTAGGTAGATACCATAGTCTCCTGTTAACTGTATGTACCTAGTGTGTGTGTGTGCGTGTGTGTGTGCAATTGTTCTTATTTTTCTGACAGAATGCAGTATACTGCATATAATGTCAAATCTTCTTCTGCTTTGCTTACAAAAGCCGGTGTTCCTCAAGGTGCCGTCCTCTCTCCTTTTCTTTTTTCTTTCTTCCTACACGACCTGACACATTTAAACGAAACTAATTTTGTCAAATATGCTGATGATCTGACTGTATCACTGCCTATCACTTCCGAGTCTGACTGCTCCAAACTTAATAGCTTTCTGTTGGACATCAGCAAGTAGTCGAAGTCAAATGGTCTTATATTGAATCCTTCCAAATATCAGGCAGTTAACTTTACTTTCAAGTATCGACGTGACATACATGAACTAGTTAGTTCCCATGATGCCTAAAGCATAGATGGCACTGAAATTGAAACCAAGTCAAGCATTAAATACCTTGGATTAGTTCTTTCCTCTGACCTTTCATGGTCATCCCACATTTTATTGATCTCTAAGAAAATGTTTCGTCTTACCTTCTACATTAAAAAGTTAAGACAATTAGGTATCAACCAACCTTTAGTTCTGCAATTTTTAAACTCCTGTATTTTACCTATTGTACTCTATTGTTCTCCATTAATTTTTCCTGGGCTTCTTAAAAAAGACTATGTCAGATTACGAAGGGTATTAAATGCTGTGAGTAGGGCTTGTGGTTTGCCACTGCATGACCTCGCCAATACTATAGTCGAGAGACACGTAAATTCCTGTACAATGTGGGCAAAGGCCGTACTGTCAGACCCTCTGCACCCTCTTTATTCACAACTATCCCCTTGTATCTCATCAGGTAGGACGAGAAGTCAATATAAGAAATTATATGCTCGTACCAATAAGTACAAAAATCCTACAATACCGTATTTAGCCCGTATTTTATGTGATGAAGACTCTGTTAGACGTGAAACATATGTTACTATGTAATTAGCATAGTGAGTCGACCCTTTCATTGTTCATCTTCGTGTAATTTTATGGTGTCACCCTTTCTATCGTTTAACTATAACTTTGCTATTTTTATTTTAGTTGTTATTACTATAATTTTATACTTTATGCGTATTTTTCTCCTTATCGTATACTGTAATTGCTACATAGCTGCTATAAAAACGTTTTGTTATCATTATTATGTAATGATTATTTCGTTTATTTATTTTTTGTTGTTGTCGTTTTTGAGTAAATTAGATGCAATATTGTACTGAATGCTGAAAATTACTTGCTGTATCATTAATACTGTCTTTGGAATGAAGCAAATTATTATTATTATTATTAGTAGTAGTACTGTAATAGGGGGAGGTGTTTGCAGTGTACCATCAACTCTCCTAAATTCAATATGTTACTTTCCTTCTGATTTTATATCAATAAGGTGTGTATAAACTGGTGAGATGACTTAGCTCGCCTTCTTGTTTTTTAAAGAATCACATCAAAATTCCGTTGGTCAGTGTCTGATGATGATATAAATGATGACATAGATAGAAAACGTTCATTAGGCCATTTCTCATTATAGATTTTAATTCATTCGGTAAACACGACTGTCGACTGTAATTATACATCAGTACTATCTATTCAAAGTGTATCATAAAGCATCTCTGGCTTGAATTGAAGCGGATAATCGATTAATGCGTCGGTAGTTCAACGGTGGAATGTTTACCGACCAAAAAAAAACATGGTCCGGTTCGATTTTCGATCCCCGACCGACTCACTGTTACATCCCATATAGCCAGTGGTAGGCCCAGCCAGGAAGGAACGTTTACTGTGAGACTAACATCCCCACCCCCATAGAAAAACAGCATCACTACTTAAACTTCAAAACTCAAACTCCAAGCCTTATGTGTCATTGGGAATGGAATGTAAACAACTAAAAAGAAAGCATGAAATTAGACCTAAAATTTATCAATTGTCTGGAACAGTTTTTTTCTTTCATGTATCTACCACACTTAATGTGTAAAGATGGATGACAGAAGTTACTCCTGTGGCCCACATTGAAGTAGATCAAGTGTGTCTCGAATCTTGACTGGATATCAAAGTCCTTCAACTTAATGAGTCAGTCACTCACTGATGGTGGTGATAATATTGGTGTGATACATGTGAGTGTGTAACTGTATCTCAGTGTCTATAGTAGATTGAATTCACAATTTGCAAATTTACACAGTTCAAGGAGGTAAATTTTCACCAGTATTAGTAATAGTAGTAGAATGTCATCGATGGCAAAGTCAAACAAAGAGAAATGGAGAGATCGAGCAACCCTGTCTCTAACCTCACTGTTGGTTGGGAACAGTGATGATAGTTGGTTGTATACCCTATCACTCTACCTGAGGTTTTTCTGTATAGAGCTTTCAGGTACACTCCTTTCTAACAGACAGTTCCAGAGCACAGTTGTATCCAATGAATCGAAGGTAGCCTTAATATCAAGAAACACAACGATTGTTGGCCTGCAATACGTGTGGCGGTGTTCCAACAACTGACGAAGGGTGAACACATGACCAATGCAACCATAATCTGGATGAGACCCAGCCTGCTCTTCGCGAATCGATCCCTCACGTGTTGTGCACAGCCTGCAAAGCAAGTCAGCAGCCAATATTTTAGATGCAACTGGTAGCTGACTGATACCCCGATGATTGTCACATGTGTTACGTCAATCCTTTTTAAATATGGGGACGATAATGGCTTCATTCAATATTGATGGCACATCCTCAGTCTCCCACACCTTCGTGAATTATTATTATAATTGCTCCCTTGGGTTTCGTAGTGGAACATAAGGCTTCAACTGCACGTCTCCACTTACTTCTGTCTTCTGCTGTACTTTTCACCTACATCCATGTTAATCCATACTGTTTCAACTCCTCTTCACACGATCTCCTCCATGTCACCCTTGGACGTCCCACTCACCGCTTCCCTTTCGGGTTCCACTCGAGCGATGGCCTGACGCGCGATGTCACCCAACGGCCTCCTGAGCCAGCGAGTGTTCAATCCATCTCCACTTTCTCCTGCATATTTGTTGAGTGATTGGTTCTTGTTTTGTTTGTTCCCATAGTTTCTTCTTGGTGATTCTTTCCAGTCATCTGATCTTCAGTATAGAGCCAGCGAAGACAGTTGTTGATAAAGGTCTGCAACAGGCTGTTGGAAATATTCTTTGTGACCCGCCAAGTTTCTGATCCATCCGTATAGAAGAACTGACTGACTTGACGTTTGTATTGAAAATCCGATTCATTTTGTTGTTGATGCTGAGTGAATAATCCAGTTAAATCAACGATGAGAATCTCGCCACCATCTTTAAAAAGTGCCGGTGATAGATTGTTTGAATCAGGTGCCTTATGGCGTTCTTGTACTCGAAGTTCCTCCCGGATCTCTTCTTCGATTGGTGGGTTGGTACTGATCAACCAAGGAGCACTAAAGCTGGTGGCCAACTAAACTGCTTCTCGAAGCGATCTGCTCAGCGTTCCAGGCTGGTAATTGGCGTGGCATCTGCCTCACAGACAGTCTCACTAACTTCTTGTTTCTTGTTACCGGTGGCTCAGATGAGCTGGAACAGCTTCCGACTGTTGCCAGATGCAACTAATACCACTACTACTAATTAATTCAAATGAGTAGTCAGTCGTGCTTGCTAGTTAGATTATCGTAATGATCTAAACACCGAGCGATTGTTTCTCTCATGTGGGGCCGACTCGGTGTAACTCAACTCACAGAACTGACTCTGTTGTAACCACCCGCCAATTTTTTTTGCTAGCCAATAAGGAAAATAGCTGGCTAGCAAGTTGCATCACAGTTGGTTTGATGTGAGTGTGATATGCAATTACTACTACTGGCCCCCTAAATCAATCAGTAGTAGCTTTGTGAAATTATCACTTCTAACTTGATTTCTTTCTTTCTTTCTTTCTTTTCATCTTTTTTCTTTCTATAGGCTGTTATTGATAGTTTTCTCGACTCTGGATTTAAAGACTTCACATTGACTGAAAGAACAAATGTCTACTATCATTTCAGTGGATTACCAGATGATGAATAAATAGCCTGACTGCACCCTCGGCCCCGCCCCCCTCTACTACACTACACTACACTACACTACACCACGCTACACTTGATTGCATTTTGCTACGAAAATTTTTTTTATAAAGCATTCATGTACATACATATATATATGTACATGTATATGTGTATATTTTGTCATACTACTTACTTATATGAATGGAAAACAAAACAAAGCACCATCCCTTTTTGCTATTCACCATTGTCTTTTTTTGTTCTGTTTTCAAATCGTTGTGTTTACTCCTTGTTTCATCTTTTGTTTTCTCTTTTACACACACAAGAATATCACTTTTCTTGCAGATTTATCAAAACAGAAGACACCAGTTGCTGCTGTGTGTGCAGTGCATAAAACTTCTTATTTATCTCATGTTTATTATTAAATAAGTTCAAAATGAATTTTGTTAAGACAGTAAAACAAAACAACTTTAAATTGTTGAATAATATTTACTTTTTATGATTATGATGAAATTGTCTTTCTTCATCATGAAATGTGCATTCCATTGTGTGTGTGTGTGTGCGTGTGTAATTCAAATTCATCTCTAAAATTTTCAAGTGAAGTTTTATTTTGGTTTAAATTTTGCGTCTTCTAGTCCAGATGCCTCTGACGGATGTCTGATGGTGTTAACACCATGATGCTATTTAGTTGATAGTGGCTAGTAATGGAATTTCTATGACAAGTAACACTCAGGAGAAAGCATACATCCTGACAAAATGCAGAGTCCTCTGAATATCTTGAGCAACAATCTTTGTATGTTTTCCATGCGATTCACCCCTGTAAAATGTAAGATGCTGCTACAGGACTGACTGGACTACGTCAACTCCTAGCTTAGTGATAGGGAGTGAGGTGATAAAACATGTTGACCACTTCACCTATTTGGGTAGTTGTATCAGCACCAACGGATTGGTTGGCGATGAAATCTCAGCACGGATCCAAAAAGCTCGAGCTGCTTTCCCTAACTTAAACCATCTCTGGCGTAGGCGTGACATCCGGCTATCAACCAAGGGACGTGTGTACTGCTCATCAGTTCGCTCCGTCCTTCTCTATGGCTCTGAAACATGGCCAATACGAGTTGAGGACATGAAAAGGTTGACTGCTTTTGATCATAGATGTCTACGATCTCTTTCTCACGTTAGGTGTTATAATAAGGTAACTAATGTTGACGTTAGGCGTCGAGTGTTGGGCGATGAGGGAAAATCAATCGAAGAGCCTATAAAGTTACATAGATTGAGATGGCTAGGTCACGTGCTGCGCATGCCTAGCCATCGCCTCCATCGACGGACGGGCATTACTAGCTGATATAGGTGTTGTGGGTTGGAAAAGAGTAAGTGGTGGCCAAACAAAAACATGGAATCAATCCATGAAATCCCTGACAGTTAAACTGAGTCAGGTAGGGAGATGCAGACTTCCGGGTTGGGGCCCGCCCTGGTGACATGGCCCAAAATCGTTCTCAGTGGCACAGATGCATCCACTCCTTGTGACTTATGATTTCCAATGAAACTGTTTTGTTCTTCGTTGTAACAATACCTTTGTCTCCCACCTCTGTTGAATGTCTATATTTTGTATTTCTTCTCTTGCTTTGTGTGCGACATGAAGGGAGTGTGGCGACTTGAACTGCCGCACATATGTGCAAAGTTCTGTGTCGAGACCCACCGACCGATACATCCTGTATTCTGTATCAGTGTTGTCCTTCATTCAAGAAGATCTCGACTTCGTGGCGGATGTATGTTTTTTTCCATCTTCACGTTCCCCAGTGGAACATAGGGCTTCAAGCTAGTGGCTTGAAGTTTCTGTAGCAGTGTTTATTTTACAGGATGGGGTTGCTAGCCAATCTCATGCCCAACCTTTCCTCTTCACCAGCATTATTTCCGGGTTAGTGAGGTAAAGGAGTGAGTCGGTGGCCGGGGATCGAACCTTGAACCATGTGAATAGTCGGCGAGCGTCCTAACCGCTATGCCACCGACCCAATGCATGTATGTTTAGTGTTACATAAACTACGGAGATCTACTCTTAGAGGAACCAACAAAATGGCAAAAGAAGAAGCGAGGACAGAACTTCAAGTGAAAATGGAGAAGACAAAAGTGATAAAGACCGCCAACCGGCCAACAACAACAATAAGCACCAATCACTATCGATGAGAGAAATTTGATTGACGTGACTTCCTCCTTCACTTACCACCCACGCAGACGGCACAGATGAAGATGTCAAAACCAGATAGGATCGGAAAGGCAAGACAGACGTTGATCACTCTGAAATCTGTTTGGAAGTGTTCTCCAGTCATCATAAGGAACAAACTTCTGATTTTCAACACCACAGTTAAATCAGTCAGTTGGTCGGTCGGTTTTCGACATAGAACTTTGCACATATGTGCCACAGTTCAAGTCGCCACACACCCTTTATGTAGCACACAAAGCAACAGAAGAAAGTAGAAGAAATGCATTACATAGTCAGTAAACAGAGGTGTGAAACAAAGGTATAGTAATAACGGAAATCATAAGTCACAAGGAGTGGATGCATCTGCACCAGCCATCACTGAGAACAGTTTTGAGCCATGTCACCAATTGTTCCCAACCATTGGTTTTTACCGTCCCGAGGACCCCAAACCAGTCAGGAAGTCTACACCTTCCTACGTGGCTTAGACTAACTGTTGTGGATTTCATTGACTGGGGCCATGTTTTCGTTTGACCGCCGCTATTTCTTTTCCAGCCTGACCCTATATCAGCTAACATTGCCCGTTGTCGAGGAAGGCGATGACTAGGCATACGTAACACATGTCCTAACCATCTCAGTCGATGTAATTTCACAGTTTCGTCGAAATCAGTCAGTCAGTTCTTCTATATGGGTGCGCGTCCTGAAAAGCATTTCCAATGGGTCACTACAGGCTTTAGTCAACAGCTTCCTTCCTTCGCTACATACTGAAGATCAGATGACCAAAGGAAGCAACAGGGGGGAACTCTAAGAACGAACCAACTGAGAACCTATCGCCTAAAAAGTATGCTGAAGAAGGTGAAGACTGACTGAACATACGGTGAAAAAGCGATTGAGTGACATCGTGTGCCAGGCCCTATATTAATAGAGACTGCACGGGGAATAGCGAATTGGACATGTGTCTCACAGTGACATGATGGAGATCGTGTGATGAGGAGGAGATGAGAGCTTATGGGGAGTTGTGGAGCCAGCTAAATTGGAATGCAAAGAACAGCATAAAATGGAGATGTGCAGTTGAAGCTCTATGCTTCACTCGGAACTCAAGGGAATAATAATAGTTACCTTCAACCGTTGTCGAAGCGTCCGTACTAAGAGGCAACACAGGCCGATCATCTCCGTTCAATATAATCATCAATCAACTGACCATCTTGTCGATAAACATTCTTAAATATCAGTTCATAACTTCTTCTATGACTATAGCTTTACTGTCACCATGCATAATCATATCATAGCTTCCACTACCCAATACTGAGATATTAATATATGCTATTTATTTTCCTTTCTACTTCTTGGTATTTTTTCGCATTAAAAAAAATATTTTGTTTTTTGTGTTTGCTTTCTTTGCTGTTGTTGCCTTTATATTTATTTTTTTCTTGAATATACTCCTTTTAAACGTTGAATAAAATTAGATGCAAATATTGTACATATGTGCTGAAAAAACCACACTGTACCACTAGTACTGTTTCTGGAATAAAGCAAATTATTATTATTATTAGATGGGTCAGGCACTAAAAGGTCGTTGCGTTGCGGAGAGCATTTTCAAACTTTTAGCGGCAACTGCATTCACTCCATTATTGTGAAAATCAGATGGTCAGGCAGAAAGAGTTAGCAACAAGAAACACTGTGAACAAAGTGTCCAAGAACCTACAGAAGCAAAATGGTGGTGGATTGGGTATAGGCTGAGGAGACCGTTAGGTGATGTCGTACGCTGGGCCAGTGCTTAAATGGAACCGGAATGGGAAATAACCAGTTCGGCGTAGTTCTTAATGTGACATGGAGGATATGAGAGGTTATCGTCAATTGTGAGGCCAGATAAAGAGGACCACAGTGAATAGAACAAAATAGATATGTTTTTTCAAGTATTGGTGTATGTGGGGATTTTTTAGTTCGATTGGTAGGAGGACTTCATCATTAGCTGACATCACTTAGAGAACCACTGGAAAACCTGCGGGGAGTACTGGACAGCTGTTTCGTCAGCCTAATTTGGGACTCTTCATCAGTACGCACCAACCGGGGTTCGAACCCAGGACCCTGTGGTTACAAGGCGAGCTCGTAGACCACTAAGCCACTGGGACCCGATCCAATGGCCAGCCCATGAATTCTAACTTCTGCCAATTCATGACATAGGCGACCACTTCGCAATGTCTTCTTCGATGAGTTACTGCCTTACCTTCAACCTGCTGCACCCTACTGGCCACGGCTTTCAACTAGAACTCCAGGTCACTGCCTGAACTGATGTCAGCTCATGATGATATCCTCCGACCAATCAAAATAGATGTCTTGTTGAAGCTCTACGTTCAACTCAGAATCTAAGGGAACAATAATAATAATAATGACGGCATAATTAGCGGAAATATACAATAAAAACCATTCAGCGATGATATTTCTTTAGCTCACTGGGAAAAGGGAAAGATAAAGAATTAAAAATAACAACAAACAGCAGATTTTTTCAAAAATATTTATATATTTTAATAAATAAAAATATGACTACATATTACATGAAATACTTATGTAACTGTTATCGATTTTGTCTCATCGCATCAAAAAGTGTTGCGTATTTTAAATAACAACATAGTCTTCGTAAATATATATATGCTCATGTTTGTGTATATGTTGTATATGAATACATCTCTAAATGTGTTTTTCTATAGAAATGCTTACTGGCGGTTGTAAATATATCAATCAGAGTAGACGGATAGTTAGTTCCTCTCTCTGCAGATGTAACAATATTCATTTATTTTGTGTGTCCATTTGTTTGTCTGTATTTTTGTCCCTGTAGGTGCATGCGTGTGTGTGTATCTGTGAGTATATATATATAAGTTATGTCCACAAATGCTTAGTTAGTCTCCTAAACTATGTATGCTATTTATTATGATAATATTTATATGTATATGTGTATATATTTGGTATAAACCTAATAATTGATTAGTTAATATCCAGTATCACTTGTCTGTATTCCTGTGTGTGTGTGTGTGGGGGGGTGATTATCTAATCTCTAGACTGTTTTGAAATAAATGCGCGATGATCCGCGTAGAAGAAGATTTACTACTTTTACCACTATTCTCACGGTGGTACTATAATAGCTAATTCCCCTGAATTGACTGTTGTTGAATTTCTATTGGTTAAATAAACTGACCAATCCAAATCACGTAACAGGAGAAAATCTTTCAATGGGACTGGTATAGGCAAATGTGGCAATGCTTCAATTAAACGAAAACCAAGTCTATGCCGGATAACTTTACGACACCATTTCTGTAAGGATTTCACTTCCAGTAGACCATTATAACGACGTGTTAAAGGATTCAACTGATGCGCTTGGGAAGATCTCAACAGAGGATTGATTGTATTTGTCTCTGAGTTATTCTGTGATGAATTTGTACAGACAGATGACATTGACGTTGAACTGATAGGCAGTCGTGTACAAAAACAACCAACTTCAGCTAATATTCTTGCCATATCAAGATGACCACGTTCTAATGCCATTTGAAAGGGTGACTTTTCAAATAAATTAATTTGCGGTGATTGTGTTGTTCGTGTATTTGTCTCCGAGTGGACAGATGATGTTGGTGTAATGATACTTTGTTGAGTTTTTCCACTATTCAGACTACTTGATGATGATGAGGCCAGCAAGTGAATATTAGGCGGAAGACGTTTCGCTGGTCTATCTAGGTCATAATTATACGCTAAGAATAAACGTAACAATTCTAATCTATTATAGGCGATCACATCATGTACAAATGATTCACCCAAATTATTGTAATTGTATTCAATATACCAATTCCCTGAAGAAAAAAAGCAGAAATAAAAGTAGAATGAACATAATAAACATGATATAATTCATATATAAACAATTAATTCAACAGGAATCAAATATGAAAAGGAATTACATAACATTGTAGGTTGTTTTCGACTCTTTTCAGTGATGATAGGCATGTAACAACAGAAGACAAGGGCCAGGCAATAGATCGTTTATTAAGGAAAATCAACACATATTTATAGATTTTAATGTACATTATTGTAGATTATTGTTAGTAGAAAATACAGTCTTTTGATTGGTTGTTTCTCACAGAAAGTTAACCTTGCATTTATTTGTGGCTGTGTCAGATCATCCATATGCTAACTATATCCGCCTACGCAAAGCCTTTGTTCTCATTTTCTCACCACCAATATTGGGGATATAAACATTGACGTCAATTACTGTCTACCAACTTTGGCTAGAAGCCAGCTCTGACCACAATGTGACTTAATATCGTTTAAAACCTGAAGCTCGAACCAGTCCTTTGTGGTATTTCTTTTTTGTTTCCTCCAAGAAATGTACGACATCTCGTTGAAAGTGAATTAAAAAAAGAGAACGAGGACATTTTGTGACCCGAAGACATCAATGAATGATGATGATGATGAAAGACTTCAGGGAATTAGTTTTACTTTATAGCGGGTGACAGTTTTTACCATAAAAACCTAAGGAACAGTCGTCTCATTATGCATAAAATTTTATTTTGATAAAATAGCACACAGTCTTATACAGTAATATTTTTACTCATGACGTTTCGAACACAAACTATTGCTCATAATCATTCATGTCAAGGGCTGTAAGGTCAACTGTATAGGTCAAACTAGTAGATCAGGAGTAGTGAGATTATCAGAACATACGAATTTAACTAAGGGTAGAATGATTGATCCCACGAAAATAAGTAATTTACCAAAAAAACTCAACTATAGCACTGCGTGCATTAACACGCAATCACACAATAGGGTGGTGGGAGAGGGTTACAATTCTAAGCAGTAATCTAGGTAGGTGGAGAGAGAGAGGTTGATGACTGAATCATGCCTGGTTCATCCAGTCTACATCCAACAAATGCAATAGAAGCGACTCAACGCAAATACCAGAGATATGGAAGATATTATTACCACCAGTCAAACCAGAGGAGGATAATAAATAATCTTAAAATTCTATTTCAATTCACATACATTAATTATAACATTCTAATAAGTTACTTCCTTTGACTATAAAAATACTCGTCTTATTTCCCATCTGATTTTATTTGATTGATAACACTCATATTATTATTTCTGAATGTACATTATCTTATATTGATTTTTATTCAAATGTCGAATCATCAATTCCACTGATGTATATAAATGAAGCAAGAAAGTTGTGTGAGTAGTGTGCCTTGATATGATTATGAGCAGCCCATAATTTGTGCTCGAAACGTAGTTGTCAGTTAATATTACTGCATAACACTGTGTGACTTTTTTTTGATGTGGTTGCGTTCTCTGAGCTGGATAGTTAATTTGCGAAGCTTTCATCACCCTGTTGGGTGACATCTTCAGCGCATACTTCAATTTGAAGTCTTTGACTTTATCAAAATAAAATTTCATCTGTAATGGAGTTATACTCTACCACAGTGCACAAGTTTTATCCTTATATCAACAGTAATCTCATGTACTGGTATATATACATATCGCCAACGGCTGTAAGCACTTTAAATACTCGTCAGAGTAAACAATATCGCTAGAGGTGGGATTCGAACTTGTGGCCTTCCGATTAATGTCCTGGTTATTCCATCAGATGAGCTAAATGATCGGCAACTGTTTATATCTAACCATAATAGCTGCTCAGATAGTTCTTCTCTTATCACTCCTAGGTCATACCAAATTGGAAAGAGAGACGGTCAGTTTGTTAATTGAGATGATGGCACCACCTGGATGAATAACCTTTAAATTGTTGATTGGAAATGAGATGAAAATCTCAATCTCAGGACGACTGGTGCATCTTCAATGATCACCCAGCCAGTCTGACAATCACATTAGGAAATAAAACAATCAATAGTTAATAGACAATTCACATACACGCGCACACAAAAGCATTCGCTTACCTGCACGTAATAATATTTCTACAATATGTATATAATTTTTTTTCACAGCAATATGTAATGCTGTATCACCTGTACAAAAATCTCTTTTATACAAATCAATATCACGTTGTTTTATGAGTAGGCTAACAGCTTCACGTTGATTATACGATACAGATTCCATTAAGGGTGTTAAACCAATTTGATTTTGTGCATTTAAACGTGATTCTGCCTAAAATAGATAGAAAGATAGACATACATACACTCAGACAGATGGATGGATAGATAGACAGGCATTATCACAATGACATCATGTAAATACTTCATTCGTGCCCATCGATGGACAGTTCAGCAGTAGATAGGTCTGTAACCCCGAAGGAACATTCAAGTCCCATTCTTAACTCTTGAAATCCGAAACCTCCCCAAATATACCAGCTAGTAAGAACAGTTAGTCTAAGCCACGTAGGAAGGTGTAGACTTCCTGATTGGTTGGGGTCCTCGGGACGGTAAAAGCCAATGGCTGGAAACAATTGGTGACATGGCTCAAAATCGTTCTCAATGGCTGGCGCAAATGCATCCACTCCTTGTGACTTATGATTTCCAATTAAACTGTTTTGTTCTCCGTTATTACTATTCTTTTGTCTCACACCTCTGTTTACTGTCTATATTATGCATTTCTTCTCTTGCTTTGTGTGCTACAAGGAGGGAGTGTGGCGACTTGAACTGCCGCACATCGGTGCAGAGTTCTATGTCGAAAACAGACAGACAGACAGCTAGTAACAAACCTGGAAATGACAGAAGACTGGGCCTGAGGTTAGCAACCTCAACTCTGTAAAGAGAACAACACCGTTTTTACATATCTGTACACCAAATACTACGTAACATAAAAGGACATGATACTATATAAGCCAAAGTTTGAACAAAGGAAACGTTATTTTACCATTAGAGGTGCAGCTAAGATCCAGGTTCATGCTAAACACTAAAATCGATTACTAAGTCACACCATAGATAGATTTAAGTTTTGTAAGTTGTTTTTACGGTTCTACCAGAGTATTTGTGTTGGTGAGAGATACTCAAAAGTGTTTGGATTCTTTGATGAATAATAATTAATGTAGATTCAGTCTGCACCAAAGAAAGGACTAGACACATCACACTAATTACTAGTATCCAATCAAAATATCCACTACAGTCCTACAGGAGGTCAATCGCTAGCCCGAATAGCTAGCTCAATGGTAACGTCTCTGACTGCAGGCGGCACTGGGTGACGCGGGGTTCGAATCTCAGAAGGGACATCAGTTCCTTCAAGGTCACTGCAGATACGCCTTGCTGATGAGTGCCAACTAGCACGAAACCTGGGTCCAAGGCTTCCTTTGGCCGATTGCCTCCAACTATCTAATATCATCAAAATCAATGTGCACCGTGATGGTGAGCTACCTATAATGGTGGCCACAGTGCAAACCTGACTGATGGAATTCAGTCTGCACCGAAGAGACGACTAGACACGTCACACTAGTTACTAGTGTCCAATCAAAATAATTAATGTCGAACAATAAAGTCATTAAATGGTCCTACATTATTTGAAAAGAGATTGACAGCAATTAGCACAAGGAAGGAGATTCCATCCCAATGTCTGAATGGTGTCTGGGTTCGGTTCTTAACCTACGAGTCTTGAGTTTGGCTCCAGATGGGAACATAGGTGCATGCTGCAGAGAAATCCCAGAGCAGGACGAAACATCTGTCATGAATTCTCTAACTTGCAATGGTTCACCTATTGGTATCATTTTCTGGTTTAACACAAAATCGGTCAAATCCTCGCAAACCAAAAAAAAATTGAATATATCTTCTTGATGGTAGATTTTCGACAGAAAGGATTAGACAAATTTCACGATGAGTTTCTCGATCTCTCAAATTTTCTATATTTTTATATGTCACCCTTGCGCTGACGACCGACTCATCTCTTTCCATTTGGGTTCCACTCCAAAGATGGCCCAGCGTGTGATGTCAACTGATGGTTTGTTTTCTCAGAGTATAGCCAATTTAATCTCCATTTCTTCCTGCATATTTGTTGCACAATTGGTCTGGCCTGCTTGTCTGGTTCACTCCCAGAGATCCCTGTTGCTGATCTTTTCTTGCTGGCCAGGGATCTGATCTTAAGTAGTATTGAGCGAAGACAGTTAGCTGTTGATGAAGGTCTGTAGTTTCCTCGAAGTGAATTCTAAACCACATTAGATGTCCTATGCAAACAGAAATCACCGTTGATTTCGTTAAGAATTGACACCAGTTAGAGAAGTGCTGAAAACTAGGAAGTACAGGATAATTGTGCTGTCCTACTTTTGAACGTTTCAGCAGTTTGCCCTCACGATTTAATCAGAGGTGTTTAATCCACAATTTGCAGATTATGAAGTAAGAGTCTGTTGATAATTCACTTACTAAGTTGGAATCAGAGGATTGGTGAATTTTAAAGTCTTTTATGCAATCGATGAATTGATAAGTAATGCGAAGCAAGTAAATACATGTACTTCTATTGTCATCTGAATTGGTAACAACCAGTGGTGTCCGTCAAGGATGTCCACTTTCCCCTTTTCTGTTTAACTTCATCATAGATATGCTTATGGAAGTATCCTTAACTGAACTTAACGACTTAGGAATCGACTTGTTACCAGGGAATAGTCTTATGGACTTAGAATATGCAGATGACATAGTCCTTCTAGACGAGGACGCTGACAAAATGCAGAGCCTTCTGAACACCTTGAGCAGCAATCTTCGTATGTTTGGCATGCGATTCGCCCCTGTAAAATGTAAGATGCTGCTACAGGACTGACTGGACTACGTCAACTCCTAGCTTAGTGATAGGGAGTGAAGTGATAGAAAATGTTGACCAATTAACCTATTTGGGAAGTTGTATCAGCACCAACGGATTGATTGTTGACAAAATCTCGGCACGGATCCAAAAGCTCGAGCTGCTTTCGCTAACTTACACCATCTCTGGTGTAGGCGTGACATTCGACTATCAACCAAGGGACGTGTATACTGCTCAGCAGTTCGCTCCGTCCTTCTCTATGGCTCTGAAACATGGCCAATACGAGTTGAAAATATGAAAAGGTTGACTGTTTTTGATCATAGATGTCTACGATCTCTTTCTCACGTTAGGTGGCATAATAAGGTAAGTAATGTTGACGTTAGGCGTAGAGTGTTGGGCAAAGAGGGAAAATCACTCGAAGAGGCTATAAAGTTACATAGATTGAGATGGCTAGGTCACGTGCTGCGCATGCCTAGCCATCGCCTCCATCGACGGACGGGCATTACTAGCTGATATAGGTGTTGTGGGTTGGAAAAGAGTAAGTGGTGGCCAAACAAAAACATGGCCTCATCAATCCATGAAATCCTTGACAGTCAAACTGAGCCAGTCAGGTAGGGAGATGCAGACTTCCGGGTTGGGGCCCGCCCTCGGGACTCTAAGAATCAATGAAGGCTGGAGACAATAGGTGACATGGCTCAAAATCGTTGTCAATGGCTTACGCAGATGTATTCAGTCTCTCGTGTAATCTTTCATATTCCTTTCTACCATTACTCATTCTGTTTCACTCTTATACTTGTCAAAACTCTATTGATTCTCTTCACTCATTTTCTTGTCTACCTTTGTGTGGTATTTGGAACGTGGCAACTCGAACTGCTGCACTTCGGTGGCAAGTTCTATGTTGAATCCAGACAGAGACAGACAGACTTCTATATGGATTCCAGAATATCAGCTAACTATTTTGTGTAATTAATGTTATGGAGAGAATCTGATTTCTAACGGCTATCAACTCATGGTATAAAGCCACCATTGTTCACTGACACTGGAAACTCTTTCTTCATACGGAACATTTTGTTTGAACCCTGATGGCTACAATTTCTCATTAGAACTCAAAGAAGTCTCACTGCGTCTTCGAAAAAATCGGAGTTGGAACACATGGACCGTTGAATTCCGTGACCCAATGGTGCTTGCTTGCTTTTATCCTGGATAGAGTCGAGGGTTATTTATCGATGAAGAGGTCAAAAGTAGGATTAAAAAGCTGTCCAGCGATTCCTCGTTTTCAGCGGTTTTCTAGATGATGTTGGTTGGTGATGAAATCCGTACTCTGACATCAATCGAGTCCCTACAAGCCAGAACTTCAAAATAATCTGAAAGTATTTAGGCAGAGAAATCTGACATTGGTTATATTTCTTTACTTATTCTTTCTTACCTTGATAAGCATTCGTGTTATTTCTGTTGAGCCTTGTCGACAGGCAAAGTGTAAGGCGGTCTCATCATTACGATCTTTCACATTGACATTAGCTCCAAATAATAAAAGTCTTCGAACTGCCCATACTTTACCACTACGTGCTGCTTTCATCAATGGAGTTTTATTGGTAATATCCTGGGGGGGGGGGGGAGAAAAAGAAAATACACGAGAGGGAAAAATCACAATGTAGAGATTTGAATTATTATTTCAAAGGAGGATAATAATAATAATTTGCTTTATTCCAGGAACAGTGCTTGTGATACAGTGTGGAATTTTCAGCACATATCTACAATATTTGCATCTAATTTTATCAAACATTTAAAAGGAGTATTTCAAAATAAATAAATAAATATAAAGACACCACCAGCAAAAAAAAACAGGAAAAGAACAAAATAATTTTTAAAAATACCAAGAAGTAGGAAGGAAAATAAACAGCATTTAATAATAACTCAGTATTGGGTAGTGGAAGGTATGATGTGATTATGCATGGTGACAGTAAAGCTATAGTCATACAAGAAGTTATGAAATGATATTTAAGAATGTTTATCGCCAAGTTGATCAGTTAATTTGGTTGAAACAACTCTAAACAATCATAAAATAACATTTTAGGGTTGTTGTTTTGTTTTTTATTGTCAGGTCTAATGTAGTGTTTGTAGTGGTAGTGTGAGTAATCCTGCAAAATACAAAATTTTTAAGGTGGTGATAATGGCATTCCCAACCAATGATTGTCAGTTAATATTGCCGAAAAAATAAGAAAAACCAACCACAAAAACTAATAATTACATGATGGTTAATGACAGGACAATTTTGTACTACTCATAGAGCTAATATAGTCGGAACCAGTAGATACACAAAAGAAGGAATACAGTAAAGTACAAAAAAGGAAGCCGATGTTAATAATTTAGGTAGCTAAGTATTTTTAAGAAGGAGTTGACTATAGAATACAAAATAAGAGAGAAATAAAAGAGCCTAAAATTATGTTATCAACAACAAAGCAAGTCATAGGTTTCACGCTTAACATTGTCTCTGTCACTTAGAACACGGGCCAAGTATGGTATCGTTGAGTTCCTGTACTTGTTTGTACGGGCATAGATAGAATTTCATTGCGGAACTCCAGAAATTAATCATGAAAACCAGCGAATAATATCCACATTGGAAGAGAATGAAATTAACACCAAAAGAAGAGCTGAACAACATCTACAGAGTCAGTAAAAGACCTCATTGGATGCAAATAGGAGATGTTGACTGACTGGTTTCAACATAGACCTTTGCATAGGTGTGCAACAGTTCCAGTTGCCCCACTTCACATGGCATACAAAGTAAGAGAAGTGAGTAAAAAGAGAGGAAGAGAGATCTTAATGGACGACAATAAGCAAAAATGTAAGGGTCACAGAATAATAATAATAATAACAATAATAATATGGAAAAACAACAGAGTTTAATGGATATGAGAAGTCACAAAGAGTGAATGTATCTGTGCTACTGACACCGAACTTTAGTCATATCACCAGCTGTCACAAGGACTCCAACCTGCCTGGCAGTCTACACCTCACTGAGTGGCTAGCTCAAACTAACTGTCAAAGGCTTTATGGATTGATGTCAAGAAAACATGTTGAGTATATTTTGCACATTATTAATGTACAGCCATGCTGGAGATTTGGGTCGTTAGTTTAAGCACTCGACATTTAGGGAATTGGTCTTGAGTTTGTATCCCTCCGCACCTACTTTAAACAAATAAGCAGAAAGAAGCTTGTAGAAGATACATTTAAAATTTGATTTAGAAACTGCTTCAACACAATGGTGTGCAGCGCCCAAATATTTATCAACCTCATTCAACAACTGGCTATATGACAATGCCACCTGTCAAGTGTTCCACAACGGGAAACTCAGCGAGGCGTTCGAAGTGAATGCAGAAGTAAGACAGGGCTGCCTATTATCACCGGCAATATTCTCAATTGTGGTGAACTGGATGACTTGTCAAACCGTGGGTAGCGGGAAGACCGGAATACTCTGGACTGGACGATAAGAAGACTCTAGAAGATCTGGGTTTCTCACGTGGATGATTTATGTCTAATATCACACAAAGTTGGAGACTTACAGGCGAAAACCAACAAACTGGCTGAAGAAGCAGGAGAAGCGGGTGAACATAGAGAAGACAGAGGTGATGAAGATAACCATCGACCACCAACAGCAGAACAACCAGCAGCAGTAATCATCCATGGCAGAGATTTGAAAGAGATTACTTCCTTCACTTATCTGGTCAGGAAGCATTGTTTCAACTACAGGTGGAACGGATGAAGATGTCAAAGCGAGAGTCCGAAAGGCAAGATAAATCTTCATCAGCATGAAACAAGTTTGGAAATCTACTGCATTGACTCAGCCAGCATAAACAACAATATTCGGATTCTGGTCAACACAAATGTCGTGTCAGTCACTTCCTCCATCTGAGTCAGAAACTTGCACTGCGCGTTACGAAGAGCATTTAGAACAATTTACAAACTAACATCAACAGCTGCCCACTTCGCTGGCTCCATACTGAAGATCAAATGGCTGGCCAGCCTGCCAGAAAGAATTAGCACCAAGAAACTCTGGAGATGAACAAACCAACGAAGATCCGATTGCTCAAAAATATGTAGGAGAAAATAGAGACAGACTGGAAATACGCTGATGAGGCCATCGAATGACATCGTACGTATTGCAGGCCATTGCTCGAGTGGAATCTCAATGGAAGGCGACGAGTGAGTGGTTACTGTGAGGCTGACATGGAGGAGATCGTTTGGGGGGGGGGAGGAGGAGGAGATGAAAGATTACGGTCATTCGTAGGCCCCAGCACTTGTAAGCTCAATTACTTTTGTCATGTCAAGCTCATCAGCGATGCACCTGATTTGACTCAGTTTATGCAACCGTATAACTTCAAACCAACCCAACCGATTTCTGGCTACTGGTCTATGTGAGTCGTATTGATCTACTAATTATCTCAGCCAGTCAGTAGCATATAGCATTATGATCTTATCATATTTTATTAAGGGTTTAAAGTTGATTCCTTTCCATTCTTCCTTAGTTACATCATCATTTACTAAATAACATACTACTTATATCTGATGGCTAAATAAATAAGCTTAACTAACAAGAAATTTTTTAAAAATCTGATTTGATTGGAAACCAGTTATTGACTAGTGTAATGTGTCTAGTCCTTTGTTTGGTGCAGACTGGATTCTATGACTACTGCACTGGCTGGTGACACCAGTTCAAATGTCAGAAGGGATATGATTTGTAATTATTGGTGTTCTCTGAGCTGCTTGGTTTATTCGCGGAGCTTTCGTCGTTCCCCCTTATTGAACAACATCTTCAGCGCAATTTTTAGCATAAAGTGAAATAATTTAAATTGTTTCCATGAGTGATAGAATTGCGTCTCCTGGTAACTCTCTTTACATATGTATTGACCATTTTCTATTGACCTGGATTTTAAACTTTCTGGTCACCTGATTTACTTTTTATTAGTTGGTATATTTCGTCTATATTATTGTGTTTATTAATTGTATATTCGTCTGAGTACCAGGCTTCTAGGAATTCCCTGTCACTTTTGGTGTTTCCTCTGTCTAAGATTTTGACATTATCCCAATCAAACTGATGTGCATAATTGTCTATATGCATTGATATGAAACAGGAATATATATCATGTCTTTTCGCGGCTGATTTCTGTTCCTGGATTCTGATTCGAAGGGGACGTCCACTTTGATGATCAATGTAATGCCTGTTACAGTTCATACATGCAATTTATTTTGTAATTGCAAATCAACCACCTGAGCTACAAATCTTCTCTGTTATTTCAGAAGGGATATAAGTCCCTTCAAGGTTGCAGATATGTCTTACTGACTGACTGGTGAGTGCCATCTAGTACGAAATCTAGGTCAAGTAATGCTTCTTGCAGATTGCCTCTAACCATCTAATATTATACATCATTTGTTTATTAACAGCTCTCCGAAAATTTACGCGATCTTATAATTTATATGCCCTAGTATATTGTCACTATTCTTGTTCTCTATTCTTTCAAGAAACTGAAGACATTGCAGACATAAATACAGGAATATTTTTATATTTCAATAACTTAGCCTTCTTATTCTTCTCTATATCATGATTATTATTTTGTTTTTGATTGTTCAATATTCTGTTTTCTTCCAATGAACTGAAGTATGTTAAATCTGATTATTCAGGTTGTAAGCAGTTGATAAGGCGTACCGAGAAATTAAGTTGGATTTGTCCATTTTATCCTGCTTCACGAATTTCTTATCTCATAGTTCAAAAATACCTACTTCATTTTGAGCAGGTTAGTAAAGCAGGATTTTCTTTTTTCCTTGTATTCCTTTACGTTCTCACTGGAACACATAGGGCTTCAAGCTAGCGCTTCGAAGTTCCGGTAACAGTGCTGTTTATTTTTACAGGGTGCATTTGCTAGCCTCACACCCAAGCTTCCCTCTTTAACGGACTTTCTACCGGCTTAAAGAGGTAAAGGAATGCGTCGGCCTAGGATCGAACCTCAGATCACATGCGTGGTTGGTAAGCGTTACACCGCTGAACCACTAATGGAACCAGGTAGCAGTATTACCTCACATAAAATAAGTGTACTCTACAATCTGGTACATCGAAGATCTTTTCTCATACAATCAGAACTACTCAACCCGACCAAAAGCTGCTACCTTGACGTGGTGGTCGGGCTTGAACACCGCAATGACCCAACAAGCTATACTGGCTGGAACTTATGTTCCTGCAGGTCCTACCATGCCAGGAAGGTTGTTTGGATAGCGGTTAGACTAAAAGCAGTTAACCAATCCAATCCTATGACTTCAAATAAATCACAAAATATCATGCTGGATCGGTCGGGGCCCGGATTAACAACGACCGCGCTTTCTGCTGCCGTGTCACAGGGCAGAAGTGACCACTGAGACACACCAAATGAAAAACAACAAACAAAAACAGGCCGTGTGTGACCGGCCTCAAGCAGTTGTCCCCAGGGCTCTGCGGTCACGCAACCAACTTCCACGGTGTGGGCAGCCGGGAAGTAACAATCGCCCTCACAATCCGAAGTGCACGCGAAACCTCTCTAATCCTCACTCACCTTTGTCTTCATCTTCATC